TTTTGTCCAAGATAGAGTATATATTTCGTTAAGGTATGAGAAAGAGTTCACACACTTCTTTTATAATTTAGCAGTGAATTTCGATATTTTTTAATACCTAATGGAAACACTAGAAAATTGACGGAACCGATCTATTGTAAGTAAGCGTTTCATAGTCGTAAAAATATTAGTTATAAACTTTTTTAAAGTCTTAAAATGTCCTTTCTTCAAGTATAAAATTTGAAGCAAGCGGAATATGCTACCAAACGACTAAAGGGAAGACAAGTCTTGTGTACGTTTTTTTAAAACGAAATTCAGATTTATAAGGACAGTGAACATTTGTAGGAAAAAGTATTTTATCTACATAGTCATTTTTTACAGATCATACAATTTTTAGGTGATCAGATGGAAGCACGTTCAAAAGCCGATATCCTCAAGTGCTGATATATCTTGAGATTAGACTGCGCGGTAATCAACGGTTCAACCCTAATGAAGTACTTTTTTCTGATCGGATACACATTTTAGAAATTTGGCTGACATTTCATGAGATAGGAGGTCTATTGTACAGGTGTCTTCACCTTTAATAACATACCTGTCTTATGAAAATACATGAATAAGATCCTTATGGGATTTTTGTGATTTTTTTAGGAGTAGTAGGCAATACTTATGATATTTTGCCGTTGAACATCAAACACCCTACTAAGTGTTTCCTATTTTATAATCAGACTGCCTGTTGCCTATAAAAATAATATACTCTCTTTAAAATGGTCCGATCTTCAGTCCGTTGCTTGTGGTTGTCTGAAGATCGAAGTTTCTTAATTCTTTTGGCTTCTCGTGTACAGAACCTGCTCCGTAAAGTTTTATTCTTGGCCAGAAATGACAACTATTAGTGACTCCCACAATATATGCATTAAAAGTGTACCAAAAAATGCATAAAAATGTGTTTAATCTTACCAGGATTCGTAGGTCCGAACTTTAAGTAAACAAAACATGTCAAAAATGTCGGTTTCTTTAAGCCTAAACTGAAACGCATTCGCTTAAGCTGCATAGGAATTATACATCATTGCATTTAAGATTTTTCGCTTCAAAATAAGGCTTTTACCTAATTTATATGAACATGTCTACATGAACATGAGTATAAATAGCTGCGTAGTACAGATGACCCTACATTAATTTCCTGGAGGAGTACTATTATTGTATATCCACTTGAATGTCAACCCCAAACCTAATGCTAATTC